CGCCGATCAGCCCGAAGCTTCCTGTTCGCAATTTCCTCGATCATCAAAACCTCCAGCTCCTTCAGGTTGCTCCGGACGTGCCTGCGAGCACCTTTCGTCATGAAAGCCTCGTTGTCCGCATTATCCATGAAAACCTCCTCGTCGCTCGACGCCGTCTCCGCGGACTCCGGGTCGCTGGTGTGATAGTGGGATGTACTCAGCTCTGAATCGCCCGCGTCCTGGCCATCGTTGCTGTCAGAGTCGTGCGTGCCGTCCTCCTCGGCGGTCTCAGCGACGCTGCACACATCCTTCTCCTCGTGGCTCGCAGTTCCGCTGAACATCTCGTCGGCGAGCTCGTCCTGCCCCTCTGACTGTTCGACGGGGAAAGCACTCGCGACCGGTGCCGGGAAATCCAGCAGTGACACGCGCGGATGCCCAGACGCAGCCGGGACCAACGGCTTGGTCTCACCGTTCGCCGTGAAGGTGCCGCTCCTGAAGCTGATTGCTGCGTCCCACTCTGCCATCTCGTCAGGGCCGATGAGACCGGGCACCTCGGCATCGACCTCGGCGATCACAACCTCGCACTGCGTGCCATTGATGCCAACTGTGTAGCACCACGCACGCTCTGACATGGGCGGCACGCCTGGGCCGAACTTGAAGTACTCGCGCTGGTTGATGCTGTGGTACGGCGCGCCCATGGCATCCAAAGTCTTCTGCAACTCGACGTGCCACGGACGTCCACCGACAGCCCGCTTGCAGCCCGTGTCAATCATAACCAGCCCCGCGGGCAAGACAACAAGCATGACGGAGTGCTCATCTATCACCTCGCGGGGGCACTCCTCTCGGGCAGTGACCATGCGGGTTGCAGACCCCCCTTTTTCTGCCCAAGGGTCCGCCCCCTTTGCTGCCCAGGGGTCCGCGCCCTTTGCTGCCCCAGGGTCCGCGCGCTGCAGTGAGTCCTCCTCATCCGCCTTGGGCTTCTCCAGCGTGTAATGGATCACCGACTTTAACGAACACTTCTTGCACTTCGCGAAGATCACGGTGCCGTTTGACTGCCACTTCAGCTCGTCAGCCGGATGAGAACACGCAGCCTGCTGCTGCATGAGCTCTGGGTCGAACTTCGCCTTCGGACCTGGGACCAGCCTCTCGCCGTCGAACTGCGAGTCGTACATGGCTCGGTGCATCTGCTGCTTCTCCAGGTCGCTCTGCGTGGCGCCGGCACTCATGACGTAGCTCCGTCCAGAGGCAGTGACTACGCGCGGGGCTCCAGATGCGGCTGGAGATGCCGTCGCAGCGGCAGGCGCACCTGAGCTCACGGCTCCTGGAGGCGCTGGAAGATGAGCACGTCGTCGAACTCCCTCCATGTTCTTCCACACGCTTCCGACCCCCTGCTGCTCGGGAGATGTAGGCAGCGCACGCTCTGGCGGAGGTGCCTGCTCACGTCGCCTCTGCAGGCCGTCGTAGACCTCGCCCGGGTTCAACCGGGCATGCATCTCCGACTCCTGCTTCTCTATCAGCGCGAGGCGGTCCAGCAGCTCGGCTTTGTCACGCTGCAAGACCTCCAGTCGTTTCTTCTCCTCGCTCTTCCTCACGTCCTCGGAGGCCCCTGCCATGACCGAGCCCTCGTCCTTCGGAGCGGCGGCGGCGGCTTCCCCAGTCGGTGCGGCGGACGGTAGTCCTGGCGCAGCTCCGTCTGGGATGTTCCCGGAAGGCCCCCCCGGAACATTTGATCCTTTCGTCTTCGATGCCCCCTTCGCCGACGGCGCCGCTGCGGCGTCCACCACGAATGCTGGATGGGCCTTCGCAGGGCCACTAGTTGGAGAGAAATCCGGCTTCTCGCAGCGGCGCGTGTAGAGGTTGAGGCGCACGATGCGGTCGTTCTTCGTGATGAAGTGGATGGTCGCCGGCGGCGTCAGGTCATCCCTAAAGATGTCCTGGCGCGGATACCAGCTGCAGAAGATCTCGTCCATCTCCTCCGGCGTGAACGGCAGCTCCTTATCCTCACGCCGCTGATCGTTATCGTCCTCGCTGGCCTCATCCTCCTCGCTGGCCTCATCCTCCTTCTTCACCTCGGCCTCCTTCTTCACTTCCCTGCTGCTTCTCGCCTTCTTCCTCTCTTTCTTCTCTCCCTTGCTGCTCCTCGCCTTCTTCTTCTCCTTCTTCTCTTCCTTCTCACCGCGGCCTTCCGGCGCACTCCGCGACCTCGAACGCGATGAGGCCTCCACCTCGGGCGGAGGAGGGGCGCGATGCTCACGGAGAACAGCTCCCCGATCGCGGCGGCAGTCGTCACGACGATCTCGATGATGATCGCCACGATGCTTGGTGTCACAGCCTCTGCCTTCGCCGCGCCGATCGTCGCGGTGCTTGGTGTCACGATTTCCGCCCATCACGATCTTAAACATAGTCGCCGTGATCTCATCGAGATCCACCTCCGCCGCCGTGCAAGGCTTCGACGTGGTCAGCTGCAGCCGCATAAGCCGACCCTGGACGAAGTCGATGGCCTCGAAGCGGCCTTGCTTGAAGAAGATGGGCTTCTTGTTCTCCACACGCTCCACGATGTGATGGACCGTCGCAAGGTCAGGAAACTCACTCCACGCTGTGCCCCTTTGCGTGCGCGTTGGCCAGGATGCGATGGCAACGCACGCATGCATCCTCGTCCTCCTGATCCTCACCGCGCCTTGCAAGGGCGCGCGCGCGTTCATCACTGCCCTGTTCTGGGCCATCGTCGGTCTTCTGGTATAAACGCGGCGCAGGCATACTCTTGGGTCGAGGGTTCCCGGCAGAACTCCCCGGAGCATCGGCTCGGACCTCTCCCGAATGCCTCCGGGCAGGCACCGACAGGGGAGCGCGGCGCCACGGCGCGCGGCCGCGACGCTCTTCGGCACTGCCAGCCATGCCAACCCAGTGGATGACCGGCCCATGCACCTGCCTTGGCACCGGCGGCTTCGCAGAGCTCCGCTGGTTGGGCGACGCTGGCTGGCCACTCTTAGGCCCGGTCTTGTTGTGCGGCTCGCGCTCGCCACTCTTTACCTTGGGGCACTCCGGGTCGCCACGCCAGTGGCCGGACTGATCGCAGTCAGCACACCGGCTGTTGGCTTTGCGCTGGTCAGTCGTCCTGCGACCCGCCTGGAAGGAGCCGCTGGCGTTGATCTTCTTGGGGTCCCGCTGCCGAGGGGCAACGAATCCGCGCTTCTGACGCTGCACTGCCGTCTTCTGCTTGGCCCTCCAACCGGCCAAGAACGCCTCCTGAAGGTCCTCCGGTGCCTCGTACTCCGCGTCGTCAGGCCCGTCGTTGTCCGACGCCAGCTCCTCGTCGACCTCGGCGCCGTCCTCGAAGAGGATCCCCTCGCCCCCTCCGGGGTCTCCGTCGTCCTGGTCGTCTGCTTCCTCCTCGTCGTGCTGCGCCTCCTCCAGGTCGCCGTCGTGTTCATCGTAGTCGTCGCCGTTCTCCACCTGGTGCACGTGCTGGCCAGGGCGGCCTCGAGGTACGAACGGCCTGCGAGCCATGGGAGGGTGCGGCAAGCGACCGCCCGAGCTCCCGGAGGAGCGCCCGTGCTCACGCTGCGCTGCCACGAACGGCGAGCGGCGAGGAAGCACCGAGCGCTTCTCGGTGTCGTGCACCTTCGAGTAGGCTGTCTTCAGCACGATTCCATGCGCTTCGAGTCGTAGACGCCGCCGCAGTTGAAGAGCACCTGCGCTCGCTCTCTTTGCGACAGCCCAGCACCACGGAGCATCTTGCTCGCCAGCGCGCGATCGCTGATCGCTGAAGTGGGATCCTCGAGCTGCAACTCCATGCGCTTCTTCCGCAAGTACGTCGTCCAGTCCATGATGGGCTGCCCTGCCCGACGGTGAGCACGCTCCCACTCCTGATGCACCTGATCCAGGCGCTCGTGATCCATCTTCTCGAAGGCGTCATCGTAGATAGCAAAGATGGTCTCGAGTGTGTCCTCGCGCCGGAGGTCCGACGCGTCAAGTACCTCGATGAGCTCCTTGGCCCGACCTGTCACCTGGCTGTAGATGATCAGGCCCAGCTCCACGTCGGAGAACTGGTTGAGATTGCGGATGACCTCCACGGCCTTGCGCCACTCTCGGTACTTTTTGGTGCTAGTGCCGACGGCACCGTCGAAGTCCGGGAGCTTCACCTGTGACAGCAGTAGGCGCGCACGCCTGGGACCGCTGTCGCCACGACGATCCCGCTGCAAGGCCAGGATCTCCCTCTGGGTCTCGGCCATTACGCGCAGGACCGCGTGCAGGTCCGGAGAACCTGCGCCGGCGGAGGACACCGCCTCCGCGTCCGAGCCGTCCTGGCTGCCGGCCATGGCGGCGCGCGCGGGTGGTCACAGCCACCCGAGCAGAGCACGCAGTGCGTCCACTGGAGCTTACAAGCTCCGCTACCAATGTCAGTGCAGTTCTTTTTGCTCGGACCGCGCGGCGGTCAAACTGCGGGTGCAGTCCCAGGGCCCCAGGACTAGGGCCAAAACGGCGGCGGGCAGCGTGCACGCCACAAACATGAAAAGTATGTGCATCATGCTTACAAGGCGGCACGGGCGGCAGAGGGGCAGGGGAGTGCCCTCTTCACAAAGAGGAGCAGGGGCGAGGAGGAGGAGGAGCAGGGGCGAGGAGGAGGAAGAGGAGGAGGAGGAGGAGGAGGAGGGAGGAGGAAACGACCGTAGAAAGGGGCATCCTCCACCCCCAGAGGCCGCAGGACGGCGCCTTGGCACGCCACGGCGGGGGGGGTGCGGGCGCGGCCTCGGCCTCGGCCCGCGGCCCCCTCCTCTACCTCCTCTCCTCCACCTCCTCCTCCTCCTCGTCCTCGACGTCAACGTCGAGGAGGAGGGGAAGGAATAGGAGGAGGAGGAGGAGGAGGAGGAGGAAGAGGAGGAGCAGGAGGCGGAGGAGGAGGACGAGTAGGAGTAGGAGGAGAAGGAAGAGGAGGAGGAGGAGGAGGAGGAGGGGGGGAGCTCTCCCCCCTGAGCCTGTCCCCCCTGAGCTTTGCCTCTGACCCCCCCCCCTGGGAGCTC